CCCCCAAGCCCAAGCCCAGCCCAACACAATGCAGGCCGGGCCATCTCAAAGCCCATAACAAGCGAGGCCGGGCTTTTTTTCGATGGGCCGGGCTAGCCCTCGTAGGCCCATGAGCCCGCGGGCCAAATGATGAGGCCTATCCTTGTGCTAGATTTCAAGCCCAACGCATACGTTTAATAAAGAATTTCAGTGGTGCAACACGCAACCTAATTGGAGGACGACATCAACTATTATTGAAATTTCTTAGGAATGAAAATGCAAAATGGGGTATAGTCCAAGGACATTTGCTATAGTTAACCTTATTTTCATATTGAGATATATTTTTTGTATATTTATCCACTAGACAAAACAACAAAATAAATTAAATTTTTTGCCGAATTATATGTATGGAGGGCCCATTTTTTCAATGTTGCTCAGAGCCCCTAAAATCTCATACCTGACTCTTTCAAAAATCTGCAAACCTTCAAGTCTTGATTGGTCGTAGAATATGTCTCAGTCATAATGCAAAACAAAAGTTCAACTCAACTCGGCTCTCCAAGGCTCTCCAATTTGTTGTTGAGAAAGAAAGATAAGTTGTTTTGTAAGTTTGAAAAAGTTCAAGCGGTAGGCATCCTTTTATAAGATGAGAATTGTTGTTTTAGGAAGTAAAAAAAATATTACTCTATGAACTGAGACTTTCCATGCTTGAACCTCAAGAAATCAATAAATAAAAAATATTACCCTTTTGTTTTGGGGATAGTACACTGGAAAAAAGATGCAAAACCAAAAAAAGATCTAAAGGAACAAAAACAGTGGGGAGACAAAAAACAGAGATAACTTTTGATATCAAATCTTGTACCAAAACCCTCCAAGACGTGTCTTCCATACGGCACTAACAATAAAAAGGGAAGGAAAAAATAAAGAACAAGGGCTAAACAGGAAACAAAACAAACCACATAAACACATTTAAAATAATAATGATAAAAGAATAAAAACATTTAATACGTGCATTATGCTTATTAAAGACGTCAGATGCGTGCATTGGGGTCTAAAGAAAAAGAGGAAAAAAAAAGAAGAAGCTCTGTCCATGCCTATATAAGCAAGCACCCATCTTTTTAATCTCAGTAGAGTAATTTTTGAGTACCATCCAATAGACGGAAGACATATGGAATATGTCCAATGCAGTCCGCCACATGTCATAAGAAGAAATGCAGTAAGTTGGATAACAATTACACATGTTCTATGTTTATTGGATGGTACACCAGACACGTGGTGTACCTGGAATATTTAAAAATTTCTCCATTTTTGGGGCAATGGGGGCATTTCTTTGACGGATCACTAACGTAGGGAAAGGGCCGCACGTTTGAAATAAATAATCCCCTTTCGACTTCAGCTGGGTTTGTATCTATCTAGCTTGACTTACATGTCCTTTTTGGTCGTCAACGTCTGTGGACCTGCCAAAGTCAATGTTGTTCGCTCAACAACAATCAGTTTTACTATTATTTAATTATAATAAGTAAATAAACACAATAATAGTATATAAAAGTAAATAAACAAAACGAAATTCCAAAATTAGTAAATAAAACACTAATGGTGTGTTTACTAATTATGAATTGGAATTCTTATCATAAATTGAATTCCACCTATGGAGGATTCCTGTGTTTACTTCACATCAAGAAATTAAAAATTAAGTCGGGCCTACACAAAATTAGGAATTGAATTCCTGATTTGAAGAAATTCAATTCTTGAGTGGGATATGATATTCTAATTCCTGGAGAACTAACCCATTAGGAATTCATCTTTTATACTTATTATATTCTCACACAATTTTCAAATTTTCAAATTTGTCATCTACTTTAATGCAACAACGAGGACATGTTAGTAATTAGTACCACTCCTACTCCAATTCCATATGATTTAGTAAACAACTTCAATAGGACTTCCTTCTAAATATATAAACAAACTAAATCATATAAGTTTTGAACCTTTATTTAGTTATTTATAATGTTTAATCTTCCGTTTGTTAAAAGGTTTTTTGGGAGTACTTCAAAGTATTTTCCTTGTTTTTCTTTTTATTTTTTACTATTTGATCACTAATAAATATTTTTTTTTACACAAGCGGAATTGGAAGAGAAGGGAATCGAATTTAGGACCTAAGATGCATGGATAAATGTTCTTAACCACTTAAGTTACAAGTCTCTTACTTGTAAGTGTTCAATCACTAATATTGTAGATAGTAATAACGACATATATGTATCATCTTTATTGACTACCTCTTGATTTCATATACTCATATACATATATTTATTAGAGAGGTGAGGTGGTCAGCAAATGTTTTTCTACTCCAAATCACTCATGTATATTTCATCCGAACACGGTAGTAATAAAAATCTTCTGATAACTTGTTAGCATCATATCATCTACTATCTGAAATTTAGAATTTATTTGGGATCTTTCTAATCCAAATATCACAAGACAACCACTTGTTTTTCTTCTTGGAGGACGTTTCTATTGGTGTGATCAATTGACACGGTATCCTGGAAGA